TGTGTTCAAGACAGGTGTGTTTAGAACAAGTGTTCAGGACAGGTGTGTTTACAACAGGTGTGTTTAGAACAGGTGCGTTCAGGACAGGTGTGCTCAGGACAGGTGTGCTCAAGACAGGTGTGTTTAGGACAAGTGTTCTCAGGACAGGTGTGTTTAGAACAGGTGTGTTTAAGACAGGTGTTCAGGACAGGTGTGTTTAGGACATGTGTGTTTAGAACAGGTGTGTTCAGGACAGGTGTGTTTAGGACAGGTGTGTTTAGGACAGGTGTGTTTAGAACAGGTGTGTTCAGGACAGGTGTGTTCAGGACAAGTGTTCTCAGGACAGGTGCGTTTAGAACAGGTGTGTTTAAGACAGGTGTGTTTAGAACAAGTGTGTTTAGGACAGGTGCGTTCAGGACAGGTGTGTTTAGGACAGGTGCGTTTAGGGACAGGTGGGCTCAGGACAGGTGGGCACAGTGAACAAGATGGCAGCTGGGGAGGACCTCTCCACTCTCCGACATGTGACTTGTGTGCAGGGCACCAGCCTTTCTGTTTGTGTTGTTCATTTTTTTTCCACATGTTCTGAAAATCAGACTTTAAAAAAAAAAAAACACCTGCTGCCAGTTCACCTGTAAGCAGGCGAGTAAGACTCACCTTTGGCCCCTCCCTCTTGATTGGTTCAGACTTTGGCTTCACTCTGAGGACAGAAAGACGAGTCAGGTGTACGGATTTACCTGGACATGATGATGTCATTAGATACTCACAGAGAAAAGGTCACAGATCGATCAGAGGAGAGGAGGGCACCCGGGCGGCTTTTCCTCTGAGGACACAACCATCGAACACAGATGAAGATTCATCACAGTCATCAATAAAAAAAAACCACAATCAATAAAAACAATCAACTGGACTCGTGTTCTGCAGACGTTCCTCTCCATCAGGTCTAAAGTGTCTGCAGTGTGGAGCCCTCAGCTCTGTGAGGCCTGTTCAGAGATCAGCTGCAGGTTAGACAGTAACTACTCACCCTCACAGTGGAGGCTCGTTGGGCTCTCCGTCTGCCGGGTTCTGACAGAAGTTTGGGTCACCTGCATGAAGGTGTGAACTGGACTGGAGCTGACCTGGGATCAGGCCTGAAGATGCTCTGTAGGTTTTAGAAAGTTGAAATCTAAGACCTCCTCCTCTAAAACATCTGTCCTCTCTGTCCAACATCTGGACCTGCTGGTCCTCAGCAGACAGCCTCTTGTCCTTGAGGTGCTGGTGGACCTCTGATGCTGTCCAGTGTTGGACCATGCATCTCATGTGGTTCTGTTCCTTCTGTCTTTGTGGGACATGTTGGGCTTAAAGTTCTGATGACAGAAGGTCTGTGTGTTGGAATGGACCAGACTGCAGCTGATCTCTGAACAGAACCAGAACTCTCAAAGCTGAGCTCCACATACTGCAGACGTGATGAAGAGGAACGTCTTCAGAACACGAGTCCAGTTGTTTCTGAACCAGTGATTGATCAGACCCAGGTGAAGAGCACCTGGATCCTTCCTCACCTTCTTGGGCAGTGGGCTTCCTCTGTGACCAGAACCACAGTCATCATCAGCAGGTCTGGATCTCTGCAGAACAAAACCGGATCAGAACCAGGTAAGGTCACAGCCAACATGTGATGGCCTGGTTTGAGGGCTCCTACCTTCAAGGTGACGTCTGGCCCCACCCTCTTCCCTTCCACCTCTGGAAACAGCTGTTTGGCCTGGTGATGACATCATGCTCAGGTGAGACCAACAGACCCCGCCTCCTCTGTTGCAGGGAGGTTGTGAACGTGTCTTATTTTTATTAAAAGTTTATTTTAAGGAATTCTGGAAGTTTCCATGCTGTGTACATTCACAGGACATGGAGTTTACAAACAGGAAGTGACTTCACTGCGTGCGGTCAGAAACAGGAAGTGACCTCACATGTTCCAGAGCGTTCCTGCAGGCCTCCCGCATCAGTTGATCCGTCTGAACGTCGTCTCCCATGTTGTCCTTCACGTTCTGCGCCGCCTTCTCAAAGAACTGCAACACAACACACCTGGTCACACCTGGTCACACTCACCAGCACCCCCCACACACACAGCCCACCGTGACCTCTGACCTTCTGGTACTTCTTGAACACTGCCATGACGTCATCGTTGAAGCTGGGCTGGAGCACCGCCCTCAGCAGGTCCATGGACACCTGAGGATCCGTGAAGCTGCACAGGAAGGAGAATGAACCGGATGGGACTGGACCGGAACCAGTGGACCCAACAGAACCAAACTGACCGGGCCCGGTGGACCCAACAGAACCGGTACCGACCTGACGGTGGTGTGTGAGCGGCGGCCTCGTCGTTGGACGTGTCGGTGTTTGATCATCAGGTTCCACGGCTTCTGCACACAGAACATCAAGAACTCGGTTCTACAGACGAACAGAACCCTCCAGGTAGAACCCCGCGAACAGGACTCGGACTAAACAGAACCAGGTCCTGCACCAACACAGACATTTGTTTATACTCGGAGCTAACTCGTTAGCTGCAGTTCTCACCGGGTTCTGGACCGGGTGTTCTGGTCCGTCCTGGTCCAGCCAGTCCCGGTCTCCGTCGCTGCGGTGGGCTCCCATGGTGCAAGAACCGGTCCGTTCAGTTTGGGTTAAACCGAACCGCTTCTGCTAAGCTAACAGATGCTATATTAGCAAAGAGAGTTGTTTTACGGCAGATGGTTCTGGTACCGGTTCGGTTCAACTCCTGGAAAAACAAAGATACGTGGGAATGATCAGACGATTGAGATTCTTAATCGATCCGGTGGAGTAGATCCGGTGGGTTTGACGTTTATTTCCAGGAAGTTAGCTCCAGACGAACTTCCGCTCTGTGGACGCGGTTTTCCGGTCACAGCCCTGTCAAAATAAAAACACCAAAACAACCTAATCGGGTTTCAAAATAAAAGCCGTTTGTGGTGAATATTTTAAATCCGAAAAAAGTTTGTAAGCTGAATCATCCAGGTAGATAAATCACCAAAAAGGTTAATTCATGTCTGGACATGACTTGACCAGACTGAACATTGTTGGATTTTTACCTGGAGCATGAACTTTGGTGTCATCAGGACAGTTTCTTTTTGGGAAACGTTTTGTCTTCCATCCAAAAGACTTCATCAGTCTGAGGCCTGCCAACCCAGAACTGTCTTATAAATAGCGCCTCATTGATCATCTTCCACTTATTCCAAAGTCAGGTCTCGGGGGGCAGCAGTTTGAGCAGGGAGGTCATCCCTTTCCACAGCCACCTCTTCCAGGACTCCAAGGCGTTCCTAGGCCAACCGAGAGACGTAGTCTGTCCAGCATGTCCTGGGTCTTCCCCGGGGTCTCCTCCCAGTCGGACATGCCTAAAGCACCTCGCCCAGAAATCCTTACCAGATGTCCAAACCACCTCAACTGGCTCCTCTTGATGTGGAGGAGCAGTGGTTCTACTTTGAGTCTTTTCTGATAACTGAACTTCTCACCCTATCTCGTGAACAAAACCCCGAGACACTTGAACTCCTCCACTTGAGGCAGAACCTCACCCTCGACCTGAAGAGAACAATCCACCGTTTTCTGACTGAGGACCATGACCTCAGATTTGGAGGTGCTGATTCTCATCATTTAAATACGTTCAGTCAGAAATTTACGCTTTAATTATATTTTTATTATCGCCAGCTGCCAAAAGGTGGGACATTAGGGTTTAACTGCATGTCTGTTAGCAAAATATCTCATGAACCAGAGGACTGATCTGAATGAAACACTCATTCATTAAGTCAATCCAGTTCAAATGGCCGCCGTGGTCTGTAGGGTGGTGGGCGACAGGCATTCCTCCAGAGAGCTCGAGTGTCTGTGTTGACGACTCTCAGCTACCAAACCCAAATTTAGCTCCATGTTGGAGTTATCTCCATTCTTGAGTTTATAAAGGTTGATTAGCTGTGGCAGCCATCTTGAATTATGTGTTGTTAATTGTAGATGTACGTCCAGTAATTACTTTGTTTCATTAAAATATTTTACTGACAGACCCGTCTTTTTAAGCATGTTTAGTTGTTTTAAGTCGACAGTTTGATTCCTTTAAGTCAGCAGTTTTGCAGACCTTCAGGGACTCGGCTGCTTCTGGTTTTTAAGACTTTCATTTATAAAACTGTCTTTAAAGAAACACAAGGACCAAAATGGTTTATAGAAGACAACCGGGCTTGTCTTCTCAGAGAATTCAGTTCTGATCCTGGGTTAGGTCCAGGTCGTTACAAGGATCACAACAGGACCATTAGGTTTCACAAATCTCTACAACTATAAGCAGTGATGACTTCTTGAGATTGTTTATAAATAAAATTGTTTCAATTAGGGAACAAATTCAAACCAACAATCCTACTATTGCCTCTGGTTCCGTGTCAGATGAGACAACTTTAAAAATGTCACTAGAACCTGATTTACGTTTGGACTGTTTTTGTCCTGTTGAGCTCTGAATTGTCAAAAAATAATAGCTTCATCCAAACATCCACGTCTGCTAGATCCCATCCCAACCAGGATATTTAAAGACACATTTCCTTTAATTAATAACCACATCTTGGATCTGCTTAATTTGTTTCTAATAAATGGTTACATACCACAGAGCTTTAAGATCGCTGTAATTAAACCTTTACTTAAGAAACATAACCTTTAATTAGGAATCCTATAAAATTATAGACCTATATGTATATCTAATCTAACTTTCATCTAAAAAATTCTAGAGGAAATAGTTGCTGGTCAGTTGCATGAACATCTGCAAAGAAATAATCTGAAGAGTTTCCGAGCTCACCACAGCACTGAATCTGCACTGGTGAAAGTTACTAATGATATTCTCATGGCCTCTGACAACGGACAGGTGTCTACACTGGTCCTGTTAGACCTCAGTGCTGTATTTGATACAGTTGATCATAATATTCTACTATAGAGACTTGAATATGATGTTGGAATTACAGGAATGGCTCTAAATTGGTTTAAATCATATCTATCTGATAGATTCCAGTTTGTAAATGTAAATAATTAACTTCTTCATACACTAAAGTTAGTCATGGAGTTCCTCAAGGTTCAGTGCTTGGACCAATACGCTTACCTTATATATGCTTCCATTAGGTAATGGGGAGTGGTGGCGCAGAGGTTAGAGAAGGTGGGTCTGTGATCGGAAGATTGCCGGTTCCAGCCCCGGTACCGACAACATCAAAAATGTGAGTGGGGTAGGTGAAGCACCCACACCTGCCCCCACCCTCATTCGTCCCACTCTGGGCCCTTGAGCAAGGCCCTTAACCCCCACCATCTGCTCCTCCGGGTACCCTAGATAGCAGCTCTCTGCTCCACACAGAGGGCTGTGGTAGCTCGGTGGTCTGTGGTTGTGTCAGGAAGAACATCCGGCGTAAAAATAACTGCCAAGTCTTCGTGCGACTTAGTTCACTGTGGCGACTCTTAATGCAGGGAGCAGCCGAAGAAGAAGAAAAAAAACATTTATATATATGCTTCCATTAGGTAAAGTTATTAAACAGCATGGGATAAATTTTCATTGTTATGCTGATGACACACAATTATATTTGTCTATGAAACCCAATGAATCCAATCAGCTACTGAGACTACAAGCATGTCTTAAAGACATAAAAACCTGGATGACCCTAAATTTTCTGCTTTTGAACTCAGACAAGACTGAGGTTTTAGTTTTTGGATCGGACCATCTTAGGAATTAAATTTTTCAGTCTTTATTCCTCCTTGGATGCATTAATCTGTCCTCCAGCTCTAATGTTAAAAATCTTGGTGTTATTTTTGATCAGGTCGTGTCTTTTATCCCCCACATTAAAAACGTTACTAGAACCTCCTCCACCTCAGTAAATATCGCTAAAATTAGAAACATGATGCAGAAAAACTGGTCCATTTGTCACGTCTAGACTGGACTATTACAATGGTTTATTATCTGAGTGTCCAAAAACTTCTTTAAAAAGTCGTTAATCCAAAATGCTGCCTCCAGAGTAACTGGAGTTGTAGGAGAGAAAATCTCTCTCGAGTTTTAACTTCTCTCCCTGTCAAATCCAGAATTGAACTTACAAAGCTCTCAAAAACCTATCTCCATCTTATTGTTCCATATTTTCCTAACAGAGCACTTCACTGTCAGACTGCAGGTTTACTCGTGGTCCCTAGTTTCCAAATGCAGAATGGGAGGAAGATCTTCCAGTTATCAGGCTCCTCTCTTGTGGAACCAACTTCCAGTTTCTGTCCATGAGACTGACACATTGTCCAGTTTTAAAACTTTCCTTTTTGATAAATCCTAGTTAGTGTCGGCTTATTATGCTGCCAAATTCCTTAAATTATTTGCTAAAACTGAATAGTTTTCATTTGATACTATTTCTATCTTAATTTGTGATTCTTGACCTGCCATTGTGTATCTGTTCCTACCAAACCCAGCCGGTCGAAGCAGATGGTCCGCTTGTCCTGAGCCTGGTTCTGCTAAAGGTTTCTTCCTCATGAGGGAGTCTTTCCTTTCCACTCTCGCCTTCTTGCTTGCTCAAGATGAGAGTTCTGTGATGGAGTTAAACTTAGAGCAGTCTGCTCCTCAGATAAATAATGTTAAATTATTATTTTTAAATATGAATGTTTCTGTTCAGTGCCCTGAGACGACTTCTGTTGTGACTTGGTGCTTTATAAATAAACTGAATTGAATTTAACGTTTCCTAACAAGTCCAACCCGTCCTCTGTTCTGGTCCTGTGTCAGGTGTGAATGGATGCCTGGAAAGACAAGTCCAAGCTGAGCTGTGTCAGAACCTGAAGACACCTCCTCAAAGTATTTCTTTGAGTACAAAGTACTTCAAAGTACCTCTCTGTCTGAATTCTGCACATTACTGTTCTCAAGAGTGTCCCCTGTCCTGGACACGCAGATGACCAGCTGAGTCTGGACTTGGAAGACCTGATCTTTTGAGTTCTTCCATCTGTTTGTGTTGCTGTTGTTTGAGGTCTCCAGTACAGGTCTGGAGGGTCTCTGCCCTGGACTGTGGACACCTCACCATGGAACCATGACTGTGGACCTGTTTCAGAAAACCTTAGACTTTGTGTTTAGGTCTTCAGTCCTCAACGTGAACCCAACTCTTGTCTCCAAGGGTCTTAGGTTCTATGGATCCTTCAGCCATGTACAGAATCGTGTGGGCGTCCAAAGGGCCTCTTCCTGTAAGACGGGCGTCCATAGGGCCTCTTCCTGTAAGACGGGCGTCCAAAGGGCCTCTTCCTGCAAGACGGGCGTCCATAGGGCCTCTTCCTGCAAGACGGGCGTCCATAGGGCCTCTTCCTGCAAGACGGGCATCCAAAGGGCCTCTTCTTATAAGACGGGAGTCCATAGGGCCTCTTCTTGTAAGACGGGCGTCCATAGGGCCTCTTCTTGTAAGACGGGCGTCCAAAGGGCCTCTTCTTGTAA